TCTCATCTGTGGAATGGGCACAACAACCTCATGTGGATAAAATGAGACATCACTTCCTAGGCCAGTGTCTAGCACAGGCTCCGCACTGAGAAGGAACTGATCAAACGTGAGTTCCCTTCCCTTTCCCTCATGTCCCACAACAGAATGTGATACTTAGAATTTTAATTCAAGCAATTACTTAAGTAGTAACTGCTATTTGTATTTACATAGCTGCTTTGATCCAGGAAGCTCAAAGGGCTTCACTAAATTTAGCATTTTAATAAATGTTTCATTTGCATTCTGTTATTCTGTTTACCCACACCAAAACTCGGAAGTTTCTAGAGCGAGACAGACAGTTCAGGAAACCAGACAGAAACTCCTCCTCTGCTGGCCAGCCAGGCCTGGGAGTTGTCCATTTACCTCTGAAGTCAAGATCCCCTGCTTTCTGGGGAACACGACAGTGGGAGGCTGTAGTGCACCTGCTCCCTCTTGAAGCTCCCCTCCAGCTTCAGCCCACTGAACCCGATCCTCTCAGGTACTAACAGAGGTATGTGAATTTCTATGTAATCAGCACCATAAACATCACGACATTGTAGAGAGAAACCCCGAAGCACGGAACACAGGGCACCAGCACTGAATTCTAATGATGCCGCCTGTCCGTGACCGCACGGGGCCAGGATCTTAACAAGCCTTGATTTGAGCACTGGCATCCGCCCCACAAATCACATGGGCCGCCCCCCGTCACAGTGCTGAATGCTGATAAATGTGCCCCCCACTCTGCACAACAGGGATGTGGGTTTCCACTGGCAATCTTCACCAAAGTGTGTTTTTCCCCCTCTCTACACTCCAGGGTTTACCCTGAATGATTTAATTATAATTTTCCTTGTGTAAGACAAATTAAAGAGGAGAGGAGGAGTGTCGTGCCAAGCACATTATTTATCTCTTTAACAGATTGCAGCTCACCAAACCCCAGAGCTGTGGCTGCGGCGGCGGCTGCTCCTGGGAGCCGGCCCAACGCATGGGGCAGCAGAGCAGGCAAGGCGGGTGCTGGTGGCATGGAAAGCCGCAACCCAGGTGAGACTGCTGGACACCGCACTCCTGCAGCTAGCAAACAAAACCGCTCACAGTGCTACCTGCGTCCCACAGGTTCTCCCCCAGGACAGCTCCCAGTCCCTTTCAGAAAGGATTCTTAAAGCTGCTAACTCCGAGTGGAGCCGGTGGGGCGAGCTTATGACTTAGCGGGCCAGGAGCTCTTGCTTGTTCAGATCTGGCTGATCTGATCACAGCGCAGGAGGGGAAAGGATCACACAGAACGCCGGCGGGGGGTGGGGGTGGGGGGGAGCCCGGAAGGACACATCTGCTACACACGCATGCTGACTGTGGGATAAAACTTCCCCAGGGCTGGGACCAGGAACTGCAGAGCCAATCCACAGCTCACTGCACAAGTGAGAACATACTTCTACAGCGCTATAGTGACAGCTTTTCTTCTTCTTCTTTTTTTTTTTAACCATTTTCTACTACTTAAACTGGATATCACACTTGTGATTTTTAAATTAACCATAATAAGGTAATGACACATAATATTCATTTTAAGTACCTATATATACACAGCTGGCTAGCTAATAATTGATTTTTTAATGATCAATTCCATAAACTTAAAACTTTTACATTTTTTTAACTTAAAGTGCTCATTTGTCTTGTCTTAGCTCCATTCATTCCGTTAAAATGTGCTGACTCGAATTTTCTTTTAATCCAGCCACGTCTAAGAATCTACCAGATAATATAAACTGAGAGATTCAAGAGATTAGCTGGCGGCGTGTAATTTCACACTTGCTTCCTCCCTGCCTGTGTGATTTGAAAACTCAGCCTGTTTGGGCATCCAGATGAAGGTTCACTGGAGTCTGAACTCTCTTCTGATCCACATTCTAATGCAGGCATGCACTGTACTGCAGCTTCCATCCACACAAATAAGGACGAGGAGAAACAACAACAACAAAACCAAGCCAACTTTGTCTCCTGGAATGGGACTGGCTCTCAGATCCGAAAGACATGAAGAGGGCTATTCTTCCCCTGCCTGCCTTCTTGCTAATCTATCGCCCGACTGCAGATCCATAACCTCTCAGAAGGAAACTGAGCACAGTGCATCTCAACAAGAAGAGTTTTCTGTGTCACAGGAAATCTGGGCAGGCTCCACAAGGGCCGACGAGATTGCAACAAATACCTTAAGTGCATCCCTGGGCATTCTTCAGTGTGTGGGCTCCCCTGCTTATGGATAAAGCTGTAATTCAATCATTCCACAGTCCATGGATGACATCTACCTTAGGACATCAAAAGGAAGCACGGCAAAGGACAACAGCCTAGAACCTTTTCCTGAAAGCTATTTAGGATCTTCTGTTTCTTTAAAAAAAAAAAAAAAAAAAAAAAAAAAAAAAGACATCGCAAGCGATTATAAAGCGAGAGCTAAGATCGGCTTCCAGACACCTCTATCTATCCTCACTGGGAAAGAACAGAAGCCAAATTGCACCCGATGGCTCCACAGATTTCCTTCTGTCCACCACTCTAGTCTTCAAAGTCTTCTAAGCTGATTCGTTTAAACATCTTTCAGTTCTTCCACGTCTGCCACCGAAAAATCATCTCTCAGGGTAGCTGCAAATTCTGGTAACCTCTCATGGCTTTTAGGCCTGAATGTGATATATGAACACGTGTGTGTGTGTGTGTGTGTACAGTCACATGTCACTTAACAGGGGGCGCATGTTCTATGAAATGCGACATCAGATTTCATCATTATGTGAACATCAAGGAGTACACTTACACTGACCCAGGTAGTAAAGCTACACACACACACACACACACATATACGCACACACACACGTACACATTTAGGTCATGCAGACTTAGGTGTATGTGTATACACACACAGTGCAGGCTACCGCTCCTAGCGCCACGATGAACAACATGAGACTAAAGCAAGCACATGGAAAACAATTCAATCCACAGATGCAGTAAGCACAAGATATATATATATAAAAAATATATACATATTTTTATATATATATATGCGAGCGTAACATGGCATACTGTTTTACAGAAAGCTTAAAAAAAAAGTAGAAGGAGCACTCTCTAAAACAACGATGCAAAGTACAGTGTGGTCAATATGTAAAGCAGTACCAGCCATGTACCACTGCTACCCAGTACTACACTTGATACCTCATTGTGTATGCTATATTTTCCCATGAGAGGCAGCACAGCAGGTGTGTCCACCAGCCGAACCGCATACTCACAACTCACACACAAGTCACGCCGTGTCCCACAACATCACAACGGCCACACACATGTCACCAGGCAATAGGAATTCTTCAGCTCCACCGTGTTCCTCAGGGACCACCGCTGCATATGCGAGCCAGCACAGAGTACGCGGCACAGGCCTGCGTACTCGTGGGCTCTTCAAAAAGGTCCCAAAACATGGATGTTACTTTTTTTGCAAGATTTATTTATTTTATTTAAAAAGCAGAGTTCAGACAGAGAGAGGGAGAAGCAGAGAGAGAGAGAGAGAGAATCTTCCATCCATCGGTTCACTCCCCAAATGGCCTCAACAGCCAGGGCTGGGCCAGGCCGAAGCCAGGAGCTTCATTCAGGTCTCCAACATGCGTGCAGGGGCCCACGGACCTGGGCCACCTTCTGCTGCTTTTTCAGGCACATTAGCTGGGAGCTAGATTGGAAGTGGAACAGCCAAGACTTGAACTGGTACCCATGTGGGATGCTGATGTCGCAAGTGGCCGCTTTAACTCACTGTGCCACCATGGCAGTCCTGGACACTATCTTTTCATTTAATTTTCTGTGAACTTTTTCAAGTACCCTTGTGTGTTCAGGTGATTTTTCTTCTTAAGATTTATTCATTTATATTTGAAAGATAGAGTGACAGAAAGAGGAAGAAATATTTTTCTAATAGAAAGATACACACCTTAACCAGTAGGCCTAATATTTTCAGGAATGTATGAAGTTGTATTTGTAACTGCTTAACTGAAACATATAATTAAAAATTTTTCACTGACTTTTATATTTAAAAACAAAGACAAGCATTTGCCTTTTCCTGATGGAAATGGTGCTTACTATCACATACTACTCTTAAGATTTCTTTTTTCCTATATGTGGCAGCTCTGCATATGAAATGCACAGGAAACAGTGTAAAAATAGTAAACTGGAAAAACTTTTCAATTTTAGGAGCATTAAATATTCTGCTTTTGAAAACCTTTCAACAGCAGTATTAATGCTTCTGGGGGCTACGATACAGTAACACGAAAGTCACAGCTTTATGTTCCTAGAGCTCCTGGCTCACATGATGTATTCCAGATCTCCCAAATAACTTCAGCTTCGCCTAACACTCACGTGATGCTCAGGAAAGCTAGAAGATATCAAATCTCAACTTCCCAACAAGAACAGAGGGGCAGAAATGACACTATGGCACGGTACCCTGCAGGCCCTGCTGTGCCATGCTGGTTTGCACACGTGCACGCGCCAGGCCCTTGCATTTCTCCTTCACACCCTCACTTGGTGTGTGCACAGACAGGGCCACATGCCGAGTGGACACGAAGATGGCCAAGCTGAGCTCCCTGCCTTCCTTGGGGACCGTGTGGAATCATGCATGCTCTCTGCTTGCTCAAACCATGAGTCACAGTTGCCCACGGCAGTCGCTTCCATCCTCTCAGGAGCGAGTTCAGCTCACAGGGAGTGAGCACCTGGCCCAGAGAGAAGACCTGGGAGCCTGGAGAGCCAACCCATTCAATGAGGAACCATACGACCTCTGCCCGGGGCCCCAGGCTGGGAGCTCATCTTCCACATGGAAAAGGCGCCAACAGTTAGACGCTTCACACCCAAACCATCCTGAACGCATTCTTAAGTAACTACAGGCACATGCCAATCACATGCATCCAATTAGGGATCAGGAGGTAGGGCGAGGCCAGGCCACCCACCCCGCCCGACGCTAAAGACGCCGTGGACACCTGTCCGTGGCTCGCTCCTACCTTTCCCTTTTGGGAGTGTGGACTGAGAGCTGTCCGTTGGTAGAGGCATGTGGGTTCATTATTAAGGAGGTCTTGGAAGGCGCAGAGGAGGAGACACAGGTCGTGGTCAGGTCCAGGCTGCTGTGGTTGCTGCCCGGGTTCTCCTCTGCAGTATGAGCGCTTGTCACTTCTTTCCAGAGCTGCTGCAGTTCTGTTGGAATCATGCCTGAAACAAACAAATTGGATAATTAAATCAATTAACAGCTAATTCCGTCCTCTTCAAACAGTAATTAAATCAAAGAGTCAGTAAACAAAGCCTAGTGTTGGGGGGGGGGGAGGTTTTTTTTGGTGTGTGCAGGTTTTTCCCTCCCTCCCTTCCAACCAAGGCAAACAGGGACGTAATAATAAGCATGTCCTCCCACAGAGCAGTGAGCTCAAGTGCCCTCATCACACGCACGAGACGCTCGGGAAAAGGAGTCCCGAGCACCGCTTCGCCCCAGCGACAGCTTCTGTCCATCCAGACCGCTACTCTTCACTTTTTTTTTTTGGGGGGGGGGGCACAGTAGAAAGATGCACACCTTCCTTTCAGACACAAAGAAGGCTCCAAATAAATTTGTTCAACTGTACTATTATGACAACAGGAACCCCAAAATGAGTAATTTTTGTGCTTAAGTCTTAAATGATGACAAATAGCTTTGTTATTAAATATAGTTTTTATTAATCACTTTTAGACATAAATTATGAATTCATATCGTCTTCCTGAAATGCTTTTCAACTTTTAACAGTCAAATTGATTATACTATGATTATTTCATTAACACACCTATCTTCCTCATTAATTTTGGTTTCTAGTACCACATGCTTAATTGATGGATGTGTCTACTGAAAAACTGCGTAACTTTTTATACAAGTAACACTATTATTACTGTCATTTCTTAGATCAATGCTAATGAACCATTACAGAATAAAAGGAAAACGTAAAATAAACTGGGAGTAATAAAGTTCTCCGGTTTTTTAAGGAGGTCAGCATGGACACGGGTTTTAAGGAGGAAATGTCAGCCTGTATTTTCCCCCCAAGAGGAGACAGAACCAGCCTGTCAGTCTCACTACCGTGTGCCCCTGGTCCTCAGCCCGGGGTCTCCAGACCCCAGCCCAGCGCCTGCTCTGTGCATGCAAGCATGGGAGAGAGCCGTCCTGGACGGAAACTAACAAACATCAAGGACAGCCCCAAGCAGCAGCGGCAGCTTCCTCTGGAAGAGCACTGGCGAGAAATCATAAACCCTGCGCGCCAGAAGGCAGCCCCACACCAGACCTGGACGTCTGGATGGCGGCTCATTGTTTCGCTCAACTGTGACACAGCCAGCCCCCAAAGCCTGCCATTTGCTGAGTACACGCAGCAGCCGAAACAGGCATGTTTCTTACCAAACCCAAGGTATTGAATTAAAAAAGAAGGCTGTGTGCATTATATTCATTTGAAACACATAATAAAAAATGCCAAGGTCTAAATTTAATTTATTTTTGTCATTTAGAATACAATGGATAGATAATCATCTCAACGTGATCAGCCAAACATCTTTACTTTGCTAAACTGTTAAAGATTTTAATTATGCTAGCATTGGAGAGCACTGGTCTAATGAGGCGATGGACTCCAGAGAATCCGAGTGGTTAAGAACTGTGAAATGAGTCTGATAGGATTTTTTTATATTCACCGTGGATCGTTTGCATATCAAAGAGGAGTAAATTATTGCACAGCGGACCAATAACCTTCCCCGCCTTTCTGAGAGGAGCCTTAACAAAAACAGTTGGTCTCTCCTAACAGTTCTCCACGAAAATGTTCAAATGCTCAAGTCTTTGCAATTAATATATATTATAAAGGAGGCTTCAAATGATACATTAAGTGGTCAGACATTCTTAGAACGCATCCTCGACAGCCACGTCGGTTTTCTTCTCCCTTCATAAAAATCAAATGCCAATTATATTTTGATGGATTTTGTCCCAAATGAGCATTTAGTTATTAGGCATATTCAATTATTACTTGTCCCCTGAAATTAAACCTCGGAGGCAAATTAAACAAAGAGAAAGGTCACTACACAATCCCAAGTCCGGTGTTGCAGCATCTGGGCTATTATTTTCAAACACCTCTCCGAGTGACAGGTGGGACGGGCCTGTAGCTAGCGGGCCTGCCACTGTGGTCTGCACACCAACAATTACCTGTGAGCGTGATGGGGACCCTCTGACCAAGCATTTACCCAACTGAAACAGCGCTGAAGGGCTTGTCTACTAAGGGTAGTGCACTGATACAAACCCACACAAGCCAACACCGGCTTCTATTTTCTAGGGAGTCAATATCCGAAAAGAACAAGCTGCCTGTTTTTCAACTCAAACCAATTGATTTCCGGGTCAGCTGCATGGGAAGAACTGGGTTCTAACAACTGTGTTGACTGACACCTTCTTCCCTCGGAGAAACACAGCACTTTCGGAGCTATTTTCTAAGTGAGCTCTTTATCCCACAAACACAGCCAAGGGCAAATGCACGACCACTTGTTACACCTCCAGAGTACACTCATGGTGCTCTGCTCTCCATGTACGCCAATGGGATGGGAAACTGGTTCCACCGTCGACAGGGGAAAAATGATAGATAAAACAGGAACTCAGTGAGTGACAGCCAGCAGTACTTTAGGGCCCAATTTCTACGTGATCATTGCCTTCACACTCTCATCGGACTTTACAGAGAAGCTGTCAAATCATTCTTTTCCATCAATGCTACACCCCAGTAGCGACGTCCACCTGTTAGTTCACGAATGCTACCTACCAAAGCATGCTATTATTGGACAGCCAAGATCTCAGGACAGGATCTAAGACAGCTAAAAGGTAGGTGAGTCACTCATCAGAACAAATGGGTATCAACTCTCCAGTAAGCAAGATGGGGGAGCCAGAGTAATAGTCCCGGGTTAACAAACCCATTCACAGGTATAAAACCAAGCATGTAAGTTTCTCCTATCTGGAGTTCACCTTTGAAAAACTAAAAGGTCAGGATGAAACTGAAGGAATCTCTCTATATGAAATTAAGGGCTCTAGGAAGGATCACATCATTAAGGAGGTCAGGTTGAAAAATATTTGCTAGCTGCATAAAACAGAGAGAAGGCCCTAGAATAACCTTTAAGCCAACAGAAAGCATCCCCCATATCACAACAGGAGACCTTCAGGACTGAAAACAAGGACTTCAAATCACCATCGCTGTATCTGTCTCTGTACTCTGACACGCATATCTGAGGTAGCTTAGCAAGGCCACAAGCTGGTATGTAAAACAATCCTGGCTTTAATGACAAAGAGGGCATTCCCAGCACTTTTCACACACAACTCCTGTGCCTTGGTGCTATGTCTGCTTTTCCAGGACAACTGGTCCCTTCATTATAAAAGAAAATGCAGGCACAGGTTTAAAAAATGTATGTTGTGGGGACAGTTGACAGATTACTGTTCATGGAACTCAATTTTACAACCCCAGGTATCACTGGCTGGAAGACAAACAGAGTTGATCAACCTTTTTTTGTCCTTGTACATCCATACCCAGGTGACCATGTTCAAGCAAGCAGAAAGTTGATTTAAACCTCATAATGACATCAGTTTTAAGCCATCATCTCTCTGATAAAAAAGAATTGTGTTGCAGTCCAACATGACTGAATTCTCAAGCCACTTGGGCGAGGGGTTGGGGGTGGACAGAGCCAAGCTCCTGATTCCTAAGAGAAGTTCAAGAAGAACTTGATTCCAGAGATCACAGTAATTACAGGTACCATCCTGGGCATACCTTTGGACTCTCTTTAGGTTTTCAATAGGCTTCCTGCTTACGTAGAAGGGGCTAGTAGTTAGAGCAGACTGCTAAGCATATCAATCAATGCCATGACTAGTGAATTACCCACTGGTGTCTCTGATATGTTACTGCAGAGATTACACTTCATGCATCACCACATTCATTTCTTTCACATTACACATGAGCTTGTCTTGTCACTGCCCAATTGCCCTCTTTTGGACAGCTTAACTGATGTACTATAACAATGGACCTTAGTGAGCAAACTTAATAAGTACAGGAGTGGTGGGAAAAGACGAGGGAGGCTGAAACCAGCGTCCGGCAGGTGTGTCAGGACAGCCTGCCATGTTCCCAACAATAAACTCGAAGGTGTAATTAACATTTTGCAAGGACAAAAATACATTAGTCGATGTGTTCTTTCTTTTCCCCCCTTGTATTGCTCAGGTACCAAACCCTCTATCTGGGCAGCAATGGAGGAGATACTAGTGTCGTACCAAACACTGGCGTACTCGGGGAGGAAAGGGAGCTTGGGGGCAAGACAGAAGGTCAAGGACATGGTTTCAACATTAAAAACAAAAACAAAAATTAAGGGGAAAAAAAACCCTCAAGGGACATAAGCTGGGTGTGGTAGACTCAAGAGAGCAGATTTAAACGCAGACATGCACGCCTCACTGGCTCCACTCGACACACCAAAGATACCAAACAAATGACGGGGCCTTGAGCAACACAAAGGAGGTTCTACCTTGTAAGGCTTGAGTGTCCAGCCTTTGAGACACACACACACACAAACACACACTCACGCTCTTACGTCCAAATGTATAAGAGTTGAAAGGGCTGGGAACCTTAAGGTAGCCAACTGGAATCCATCCTACCACTTGGGGAATGGGGACAATCATATTTCAAAACCCAGATGGGACACCTTCTCCCTCCCTCCTAGTTACAAACAATCCATTCGCCTTTACGTTACACACGTCAGTGAGGGCTGCTTAAACAAGTGTCCCAGGTTCCTACACGTCCCAGCACCTCACACCTTTACCACCCATCATCAGTGGCTTTTCCAAAGTCATTCATTACATCTACTAAACCCTGCTACTTTTCAACAAACCCCAGTGTCTGAGAACAAACTAGACCTGGAAAGGGTACCTGTTCTGATCAGCGTGTACCTCACTCACCCAAAAGTCAACAGTCGGAAGGTGGCAAAAAGAACACAAAGGAAAGAGAAAGAAAACTGGAACAACGAACAACCTTGGTTTCTAACAGATTCGGCTCATTCGCAGAACAGTAAACTTGAATTTATCCCTAGACAATAAAAACTGGCATTTTATAAAGTGTCACTAAGATCTACAATTGGACAGCTACGTGATACAAAATACACCTTTCAATGACTAACAATAGCCTTCTAGAAAAATCCCTCTGGGGTTCCACAGCAAAAGGCTAGAGGATCCCATTAAAATGCTCAACAAGTGCAAAGCAGCGCTTCACCCTACTGAAAGAACCCACAACATTTGCACTCCGAACCTTCATGCTGGCGTCAGCAGACTCTTCAACTTCCACAAAGGTTGGTTAGTCGCTCCCTCAGGTTGTTTCTGGTTTGTTTTTCTGTTTCTATATGCATGCCCGATATGGACCATTTCCTTACTGAGAAGCTGGGGTACACCAAGGCACCCACCCCCGCCTCCACCCCACGTCTTCACAGGGCTGTGCCTGCCGGTACGAATGCCTACCTTGCGCAAGAGGTTGAAGGGGAAGGGTGGGCTGCCCGGGCTGAATTGTTAGAAGGCCTTGGCGTTGCAAAGACAGGAGGTGCTGCTGCTGTAACTGCTGCATCTGTAGAAGCTGCTGCTGAAAAGCCAACTGCTGGGTAGCCACCTGCTGCTGCTGTAAGAAATCAGGAGGGAAAAAATGAGATGGCCACTTCCCAAGGAAGGTGCAGAGTGTGGATGTGTGATCCCGCACCGCCATGGCTGAATTATACCTAGAATGGGCACAAGAGCTCAGGGGAGGTCTCAACTCCAGGACTCCCAGGGGAGTGAGGGGTGAGGGTGTTCCTTTCCCCTTGCCAGCTACCAGAGAAAAATAATCGGTCAGCCCAGCCAGCTTCCCGGACACTTTGAAAGCCCGAGTTCTGTAGGCAGATGTGAACTTTCAGAAGGTCAGATTTTTTTTTCTTGCCCACACTAGAAAGAAGACCTGATCACTCCTGTCCTCTGGAGGGATTTGAACCCTGAACCTCCGAGGTGTAAAAGAACAAGTTGCCTCCCTCCCCGCCAGCACCGGCAGCAGCTTTTAACTACTCTGTTTATCACTTCTGACATAAATAAATGAGAAAAAATCAGACCTTTGAAAAAGAAAAACTTCATCTAATATTGTTAATTAGCCATGACAAACGATGAAATAACATTGTAAATCTTTCATAGAAACAGCCACTAGATTTTAATTACACACATTCATAATTTAGCAAACAACATCGTCCTCAACTGCAAGTGTTTAATACGCACGGCACTGCGAGCTTCGGAGGCCTGAACTTGGCTTTCGCCTCCACAATCCCTAGGCCTGGCTGCTGGTCCCGCTTCCCCCACCAGCTTTGTTCTTGAAAAGAAGGGGCTTTACGATATGATAAATATCTCTGTGTTGACTGGACAATGACAGGAGGAAAACTTTTGTTGTGTAAACCATCAATACATCATTCCTGTGTTTAGCAGGCCTCGCTCCAGCCAAAAAAATTAATGTAGATTTCCTCAGTAATTATCTGAGTGATAGAAAGATAATACAGTGCAGCAGTACAATAAATAGAAGGAAATTATCTAATATCCCTAATCTGCTAGGACTCATATCGAGGTGGAGGTCTTAGCCACATTATGGCTAACAATTAGAAAGGAAAATTAACCCTTCCCACACTGTAACGAAAATGAAAAAAAACATAAAAATACCCAAAAAACAAGAGCTTCTTCAACAAAAGAACAAGATCTGCTTGCTTGTCTATTCAAAAGATCAGAGAGACTTTAGCAACTAAAAGGGCTATGCAACCCTTTGGAGAGCCTGTGTGTGCTGGTTAATAACCATACTCCACAAACAACTGCATTCACTTAACCTAACACATGACCTTGATCTGATATATCCATGAAGTGGCATGTATATCAAGACCTTCTGATGCAAAAGTTCAAAGAAAGAGAAAAATGGTGGTTTCCTTTTCCATCTCCATGTAGTTTATTTTACAGTGTAAACCATCATTCTCATATTAGCAACCAATTTCAGACTTACTACCATGCCACTGAGAAAGTTAATTGAGTTTCACTCCAAAAAACAAATTCTATACCACTAACAACAAAAATTTAAATAAATTTAAATGAAAAGCCAGTGTTTTCATTTTAAGAACAGCATGCATAAAATGATCCAATTGTTTTCACCCCTTCCCAAGTTATCACATTAATGTAAAACCCAATGATAGTTATATTCATGTCAAAATGATTTTTTCACTTCTTCAACAGATATTAACTCAGGACATTAAAAAAAAAAAAAAAAGGAGGGGGAAGATAAAAAACCAGAACTGACACAAAAGATGGTGGAACCAGCTCTTGATGTAGCGTATCATGGGGGGAAGGGGGGCCTAGAGGCTGGGGAGGGTGCTTCCTGTCTTACTGTAAGTGAAATGTTTAAAAACTCTGTATTTATATGAAATGACTGATGCCTTCTCTGTTGTCTCTGTGGCCATCCCTAGGAAAAGCTCATGAAAGCTGTCCACGTTTGAAAAGCCAGGATATAAAAGTATACAAGGCCCATTGTCCAAAGAAAGAATTTAAAAGCAACAGTGGTTGCCAAACTGTGCTCCCCACCCAGTTACCAAACACAGGATACGAGTCCGTTTGTTTACTTCTCACAATTGAATGCATACAAAAAAGGTCTCCGTGCAGTCCCCTCGACAGGTCAGTAGTCAGTGCTAAAATGCTCAAATGCCCTGATAAACCCTGCATTTCGGATCCCCTCCCTGGAGCTGCAGTCAAAGGTCTGTTTTCCTTTCTTCGGCTACTCCCTACTGCCTAACATAAACTGTCATAACTGCCCGGACAAACGGCCCTTTTTAAAACAATCAGCTCAGCCTACCTCACCCGTGCAGGATGGGATCTTATGGAGCTTTTTTTTTTTTTTTTTTTGTATCTTGATTTAAAATTAATTCTGTTGTGTATTTTCCACACCAGTTCTGTCAAATATAACAAGCAGTTGCTTCCATAGCCTGTATGCTGCATATCCCCTCCGCGCGCCCCCCCCCCACTCCCCCAGCCAAGAGCATCTGTCTTTTAAGGAAGGTCTCAGGTCTAACCCAATGTGGAGCCAAACTTTCCCAGGGAAATATCTCAGCTCAACTTTGGGGAAGAAACAGAGTGCAGGCACACTGTTCTGGCCAGTGATCAAGTGTCTTACAGCAGAGGAAATTAAAAAAAAAAAAAGGAAGGGGGTTGGATAAAGCCGAGTGATACAAAATTATGAGCCACTAATGACTTGGGATTCAGTAAATTAATGTACTTGTTCCATCTGTCAACATCCAAGTTCAACCCTTGTTAAAATCATAACCACCAGTCCACATCGTGAAACTGCCACCAAGTGACTCTATTTCATTTCAGCACCACCAAAGGCCCACCACCTGCAGGACCATTTCGGGAGAGGAGCTCCTTACCTGAGGGGAAACAAGGATCTCCTAACCGTGTACCACCCAGGTCTCGGCCACATCCACTGGCGCCGGGAACACGGAGGGAAACCGAAGGCGACCTGGCCACGCCACTGCTCTGCCAACCTCCGAGAATATGCAAAGGCAAGGACCTCCTGGGTCACCTTTGCCTGCCGAGGAGGGCCCAGAGGCGAACTCAGTGTCTGGGAGATGCTGGAACGCTAGCACAGCCGTCCAGCTAGTTCAGAGGCACCAGGCACGCTCTCTGCGCCCTGACTCCCTGGCCCAAAACTCAGCCACCGCCTCATCTTTGTGCTCTGAGACGCTCCCCTCTCTGACAACGGCAATTTGGGAGAGTTAACTTTTATCCTTCTCTCTGCTGTGTAACTTTCCCCTTCACATTTCTTTATGTGCCCTCTGAGCTCATCTGAACTTTCATGTTCTCCCAGCATGCAGACGTGCATTCCAAACTATGTCTAACAGACCAAATAAGAGGTTAATAAGAAGTGGCAACAGAAAGGAAAAACACAATCCCTGGTAACTGATAAGAATGACAGTGGCAGCCCTTTTTTGTTTGTCTTCAAATATAGAGTTAAAGATCTTTAAAAAACTAAATTTTGATGCCTTTGAAAAGAAAGAAGCACAAAATAACAACAGGGGGTTATTGCCTGCAAGCCACAGGGGAGAAACTCCATAATTCTTATTCTCCCTTTTGAAGGCTGTTAGAAATCTGATTCAAAAAAGCAACAGCAGAAGGGGAAACCTCTTGAGGCTGTAACCATTTCCTGTGATCATGCATAATGTGCTTCAAAAGTGGGTTTTTACCAATTCTGTTGATCAATTGCACCTCCTTCATATCCCTTCTTTTTTCTGCTGTGTTTACATCTGATGTGACTCAATGACAAGCACTGTCTGAGACTGTGAAACAGGCCTGTCATGTTGATTTATGGGCGCATCAAACCACAACTTGTCCAAACTGAAGCTCGCAGTTCATTAATTAGAGAGTTGTGACTTTGAAGTCAGCTTTCAGACTGTGGTTTTTAACATTTGGCTTAATTTATATGCTCTTGAATGTGGATCTCTAAGGAAAAAACTGAAATTCCCTTCTTGTCTTTGAACTTCTTTTGACCGCACAATAATCATTTCTTTGTCCAGAGTGATGCCTGCAATCCCAGAGTCATTAACGCGCATTGAACTGCCACTGATGAGTAAGCCCTGCTGAATTAGAAAAACAGCCAGCAAAACAAAGCTGAGAGCCTTCTGCACAGTGATATCTCACAATTACATGCCTTCCCTCCCTGTGCCATTTCCATTTTAATTACTGTTAGTCCTTTAGATTTACATTTTAGACACTTTTTAATCTGTTCCCTTTTTTATTATAGCAGCACCCGGTAGCGCGCCACTGTACTTAAGGTTGTGTCAGCATTTTCATTAAAACACCTCCTCCCCTTCACCCCAAAACTGCCCCTTCAGTCTGCAGGGGTTTCCACCCAGGCTGCTAAACAGGACTCCAGGGCGAGCACTTGGCAGGGCCTGGAAAACAGAGCCAATTTGTGTTGAAGGAGGAGCCGGCCAAGGGGGAACGGCTGGGGGCCCTCCCAGCGTGCACAATGTGTACCAGAAGCGCCGCCCAGCAGCCGTGCTTCTGCGACGGACAAGGACTCGGACAGTCAGTCACCTGGCAAGGCTCTCTCCCAGAGAAACTGGAGTGGTTGAGTGCTTGGGGCCTGCAAAGAAGCCCTTCGGTTGGACGATGGGCTGCTGTTGGAATTATAAACGGCACTGCCAACCCACTGCAAACACTGCAGGCAGCCAGACGTCATGCCAGGGGACACCGTGCACAGGTGCTCCCACCAGCGGCTGAGCCGTGGGTGCCTGGCATTACAGAGAAGATGAAGCAGAATCCCCCACCCCCACCCCGGGGTGGGGAGGGAAGGGCCTTCCTTCTCATTCTGCCACCTAACTGTGCCTTGAGGCATAAAGCAATGACTCATGGATGCTACAAAGTTTTGTGCGCGTAGAAGCTATGATAACATGCTCTTCTTACTTTTATTTTTTGCACTCAGGAAAACACAAATAATCCCAGCTGGAATCTTCTCTAACTTGAACTTGTACTATGTGATGCATGCCTCTAGCAACTTTGATATGTACAACCTGTGGGTTAGAAGTTAAACAAAGCTAGGGAAGCTGAACCTTGTTCTAAGTTTTTTCGTTTGTCCAACTTCACCAGAGATCATGATTCCAGTGGAAAAGGCCATCTCCACATCTCCAAGCTCTCTGAAGTGGACAAAAAGAAAATGAAGCGTGCATCCCAGTACAACTGTACTGAACGCACCTCACTCCCCTCAGCTAGGACCTGGCCCTCAGTTTAACAGTTTGCAGAAGTAGCCCTGAACGTCCTGCTCACGCCCCTGCCCCTACTCCTCACACAGGTACACGTGCAATGGGGGTATCATAAAGTAGGTGGCAGCAAGCCAATGGAACCCAGGAAAGTCTCTGAGCGAACAGGACAGTAACTCTCAGTCCGAAAGCAGAAAACTGATAGAGTCGGCTCGGTTGTGCAATCATTTAAAAGATGAATGACAGTTTAATAGCCACTAGATAGTCCCTTGGGATCTGCGGTCTCAAAGTAAAATGTGTATTGTCGGTACCTCTTTAGGCTGTTTTCCAGCATGTTGTTGTTGTAGAAGTTGAAGCTGCAACTGTTCCTGCTGTTTTTTATAAAACTCTTGAAGCTGCTGCTACAAAGGAAAGAGAAGATGGTAAGTCATGGAGGGTAGCGCCAGCCGCTGTCCCTTTCGGTGCCACGCACAAACTGCGATTTGAAAAATAGCATCCTTTTATCTGTAATGGCCTGACCTTTAGTTTGAAACTCGACAATAAATTCAGGGCACACTGACTATTCTTGGCATTATTGTTTGAAAAGTAATCTCCAAAATGAACTGATGAAAAACATACCATTTTCTACACAAACTAATTACAGTAAGGCCAGGAATGACCGCTGATAGCACAGCAAAGCTGCAATGCCCTTGCCGAGAGAGAGAGCCCGGTGGCTCCTGGATGTGCGCTTCCTGCATGGGAGGGCTGCGCAGGGGTGCACTGAGGCCCAGGGCATGCACAGTGTAAGGAGCTCCTCACTCAGCTTGTCCCCAACAGGCCAAGCCCACAACGCCAGCAACTGCTGTACTGAACAGCGTCTGTTGGGTTCAGGTGTCCATTGGGTCTGCAAAGTAGGCCCTCATGGCACAAGGACAGCTAGAAGTTCATTTCGGCATCCGCAGCCATGGATGAAAGTAGAGATCAACGCCGTACATTAAAATGAACCAACTCCAACATGCTTCCTGATTTTTTTTTTTTCCCTTTAATTCTGTAAGCATCTGAGTTGAATTGGGGACTTCAAGAGCTGTCACATTTAAACCTGCTCCCACTGAACTCCTCGTTTTGCTTTGATTCACACCATTTGGAAGCCTCTGGGCTTACCAAATAAAAGAGTGTAAAGCCACGTAAGCCTAAAAGATCTTATTTCTACCAAGTCCAATTACAGGCCTAATCTTGGTCCATCGGGTCCTCTCCAGGCCCTCATCCTCCGGCAGGGGTGCCCACGCACTCATTACTCAGGGCCGCCCCACCCAGCCCCCTCGGGCTCATGGTCCTTCCATGGGAACAGCAGGGGCTCAGGGGGAAGGCGGATGTGCTAGAGGCCTGGGCCCTGGGCTCTAGCCCTGGGTGCGGAGCAGGAGGAAGGCCTTTACCTGTTGGAGCATGAGGGCCTGCTGCTGCTGGAGGAGAACCTGCAGCTGCTGAGGGCTCAGCACTTGTTGCTGGAGGATCTGCTGCATTTGCTGGGGAGTGATAACTTGCGGCGTCATCATAGCCACTGACGCGGGCACCTAGAAAGGGAACGGGAACACAGGGTGAACAGGAAGCCAGGTCATCATCAGCGTCTCCTCCCCTCTCCTCCAACCCCGCTGGGAACTGACGGATTTGCTCCCAATAAGGTGCCCAACTGGACAGGATACCCTGACAAATCCCACTCATTCGGCTCTGGACTTTGTATTTTAAACGAAGAAAAAGAAAACCTCACAGCGACAACGCGGGCTCCAGGCAGGTTTGCAAGCGGACAAGGAGGAAACACCTAACAAATGCTGCCTGGAGTCAGGGTAGATCCACCCCCATTTTTTAGGAAGAATGAGTGGGGCTGTAGGCAGAGAACCCAAACTTGAACTGTGTGTCAAGAGGGGAAGGGACGTGGGAACCCACAGCTCCGCAGCTGGGGCTGACACGACCCACTTCCTCCGCGGCCCACAAATGCAGGCAGTCCTGCCATGGCCGGCCCTGGGTCGCACCTTCCGAACTTAAACACAGGCCCTTTCTATGATGCCTTTTCCCCTTCCTTATTCACTCAGCATACAGATGTCTCAATTCTTTCATATTATGTGCGATACCATTAAAAGCCGCTTTCCATGACATTTCAGTGACAAACAGCTACAGTGATGAACTTGATAGCATTTCATATTTGCAACTGTTAACACGTTTCTGCACGGGCATCTCTGCAAGGAACCTGCACACTGTATCTGAAAGGATGATGTCTTGTTCAGATAAAACACTGACATTAAAATGACAGGCTGTCTTGGCCAAGGTTACACAAATTGTATTCAAGCGGATACCTAATGACAATGCTATGAATTCTGCAAGCTTTCTAGAATGTAATTTAGCTATTCAAAATAATCACTGCACTTGTGTTTAATTTGCAGACTACATGAGAACCATTTTGTCAGTCCCCGTAATGCAAGAAGACTATTTCATGAAAAATCACCCCCACCCCAAATAAAAAGATAAGGAAAGAAAAAACAATGAAAGAAAAGACAAAACCCGTACGTCTTCTAAGAGTAATATTTAAGCATCTTACTTTTCTTTGGTTTCTAATCAAACATGTGACAGCAAGGAGCTCGAAGCAGTAAAGGATATACTTTGTTAAAAAGGATCTGCTGTCATCTCATGTATTACAATAAAAGGTAATAACATGTTTTGTACTTTGCATGCGTGCCACTTAAAAAAAAATCCGGCAGACAATAGCTGATCAGAAGATAAAAGAATTAAAAAATCCTTCCAGGGAGCAGTAAGCAAAGGGAGAAATGCAGTATTAATTTTATGTAACATAATGTCTTAATATGCAGTTTATCTTGACTTTTTCACATGATTTGTCCTGTCATTTGCATAGCGAGCTCTCATTCCTAATTTCACAGTCATTATGCACTGATGTCCCGATTTCTCAGCATCACTAATTTTGATGAACTAAAAATGGTTCCTGAAGGTCAGATTCATGCACAGTGAACGTTCTCCACAGTTGTTGTGGGCATGTTTTGTTGTGTGGGGATGTGGATGGGCAAGTTTCGCATGTTTAGAAAACACTTGCTAGAACATTTGAAAATGTTCATTAACCCAACTCTGGAAGGTCATCCGTGAATTCTTCCTGTTGCAGTGGCCTTTTTAAGTGTAGATGTAGATACACTGTAATTTAAAACAGATGGGTATGTCTGAATATTTTTATATGCAAAAAGGGACAGATGTATATGAATGGATAAATTATCCTTTTAAAAAGATAATTCGCAGCATGAAATATCACCAATGATTGGAACACTGAACTTGTATTCAGTCTAGGGCAAACACCAAGAAGACGTTATCAAAACATCTAACCATCTACAAATTCATCCTAATTAGTCTACTTTGTCTCCATGCAGAAGAAACTTTTTAAATTTTTAAATATGTCTTGGGTGCCAATCATTATCTCCAGAGCTGCTGGAAGCCAACACAGCACAATCAAGTTTACTTTCCCTTCAGAGTTGCATCAGCACTCGGGGAGGTTTGATTAAGCAAACAAAAGAACCATGTTTAAGGTTTCTTTTTTTCTTTTGCGTTTCTTGGATGATATACAACGTAAATATCCTTGAGCCAAATCTCTGATGGCGATGAACAGACAAGAATAGGGTGGTGGCAAACCTAGGCTGCTGATGAACATGAACCTCGGAGACAGAGCAGAGATCACTATAGAGAGAATCTGTGGAGCCTAATTCTGTTCACAGAGCTCTGAAAAATCCTAGGCCAGACGTGAACTTTTGGGGTGAACTTATTTTGATTGTGAAAAGTCTTCCAATGGTACACTGAAAGGGACTGTATTTTACGGTATGCAAATTAGACCTCAACAAAATGAATTTAAGAAGTAAAATATATACATACACCTACCCTAACACAGAGGGAATATGGTGTGCGCCTTCTAAGATGACAAATGCTACTGTTCCTCCCCTGTCAATAAACCAGGCAGCTCCCGGACGGGCCTGACACCTCCAGGTGAGGCTGACGCCCTGACGTACAATCCCTGGTTTAAATCTCCTTTTCCCACAGTTATTTATTCATTTTTTGCAGTCACGTTGCAGAGCAGGAAAATGAACTAGAGTCTCCTCTTCTCCTTCCCTTTGGACATTTTGATAGAGGGGCTGGTGAGTAATAAAATGCTCCCAGCAGCAGGCACGGCCAGAGGAGGGGAGGAAGCAAGCCTGAGTAATCCTCTGAACTGGCTGAAGGGTCTCCGAACAAGCAGAGGTGAGCTATTCTATCCTGATGGCCGTCACTCTGCTTTTACTATCTGAAACCACATTTTCACACCAGTTAGCTCTGGGCTTCCAAAGTGGGCTGCAGCTTAATTTATAAAACGTAATAAAGCCAAGATTTCCCCAAAGTTTCTGCTCCCATATGTCATGAAAAGAGGTTATGAAAAGCTTTAGCAAACATATTCAAATGGACCAGAAACCATGGTGGGGTAGAAAAGAGGGGTAAAAAAATCTGAGCACAGTTTAAGGCTTTAAATAGTTAAGAATTATAGCCTATATATCCACTCCCTTAATTCCCAACGTCCAACTTTTTCATGTACCTAGTCCCCACTAATACTAGGAATCAAAGGGCAGGCAGTACCAGCGAGAGGCTATTACAGCCCACACTTTATTGCCCATTACTACTGAGGTCATTAGCGGCAAGAGTGATTGTAGCAGTCTTAACCTATTGATCACTGTAACTACTATCATTTAATCCTGTGTTGAATGTCTGGAAAGCAGCTAAAGGCACACAAGAGAGAGTGCTTTAGCATCGAGAAATATGGCCAAAGCTTAGAAATTACACTTTGATTCATAAAATCTAGCCAGTGGTTTAAATCAATAGTATTTAAAACAGTCATGTGAGTTTTTAACTACAACCCTCTAATATTTATGGGTCCCTCTTTGAGAGTAGTCAGTAAAAACGAACCCCCCCCCCCAACTCCCAACACATACCCCAATTGCATGTCATCTACCTTCCTTTCCTTGAGGAAAAAAAAAACATTCATTTCTGATGTTTTGTGTCCTACAGGGCTCATGGCGTCACTGGGAGTTGAAACAAATTCTTGATTTCTTTCTCCAAAGACAATTTAAATATAAGGCAAAACCCCCAAATTACATCCCCGATACTGTAACTACCTGAACTGTTTCAGTATATAGAAATGAGTATGTTTTATGAGTTAACAATGAATCATAGAAGGCAATTTATGAAGAACTAGAATGATTCTGTCTAGCTGCCTTCAGGGATCAGAAATTCAAATTAAACTTCTGGCAGACATTTAAAGAATGCTAGCATACAAAACCGAATTGGAAAAAAAAAACACATACAGTTAACACTCTATAGTTGAGTTTCGAGAGGAAATCGTGAATTGAAAAAACACTCCGCATGAGACATTGTTGACTGATATCAACTGGGTGTGGCCGATCCTAGGTGCGCACAAACCTGCGGGAATGGCAGGAAGGCAGTGGGGCTCGAGCCACAGACCGCTGCTAGTATGGACCTGCTGCTACCTCGTGCCAGCAACTGGGGAACCGCCGTCAGCACTAGCAACTGCTGTTCACAGCCCAGACACCGCGGTGCAAACTCCGCCTGGTACACTTCTCCCTCTCTCCAAAATGACTCCCTATCATCTGCATGCTTGGAAACTCTCAGGTCAGATGCCTGATTAGTTTCCCTTATGCTCACTGGGGGAGGCAGGTAACGGGAGGGGCACAATCTAAGAAGCAAACAAACAAATAAAAACACTCACAGAAACAATACTTATTTCTAATCTAGGAGACAATTGAAGGAATTGGGTGGGAGGGGAGATGCCTCAATATAAACATTGGAAATAACACGCTATCATCTTTTTCCCCTCTCTTTAGTTTACATTCAACTACAAGCAGATACTGCCCGGTATAAATACACAGAAATTATGCATATCAGTGACTTCTCATAATCACTATGTGTACAAACAGTAAAAACAAGATAACTTTAAAATACTGTTTTAGTTCCATTAATCTTCCATTAATCACCATTAAATTATTTCCAAAAATACTTTGGACACTACTTTGTGAACCGCTGATCATTCACCGGGTGTGTGCCCCCAGGAAACTCACATTCTTCCTAGGCTCCAGGCTGTATCTGAGTGATAACTGACCAGGCTGGGCAGGGTCACCTGGTTAATCACACAACAAGAGTGAAACAAACTGAAGTAGAAGGCTTCAGAATATCAAAACAGAAGCAATGAAAGAAAATGGCTCCTTAAAAAAGAGGGAAAAAAATGCTAAATTTTATATGGCCATATAGAAGCGAATCTGGGTAAAAGAAAATCAACCCCCCCACTGCCCCCCCCCCGTGAAAAACAAGAGTTTTTTCATACTTAATAAGCCAACGGATATGCCAGCAAACAAAAAGTTAAGAAGCTTCTTTCTGGTATTAAAAACAAACCAACAGGTTCTATGAAAGGCAGCTGTATTATAAAGGAAAGAAAATATATTTCTGACGTAGTATTTCACTCTTAAAAAATATTTTTAAAAAGCAC